AGAGTGTCTATGTCGAGATTTCTGCTACTGGAAAAATCATGTCAGATGACCTCCGACAAAAACTAGCAGACATAAGAAACAACAGTCACCAAGTTCTGGATACAATGATAAAATTAAATAGTTATAACAATACACAGTATATCTTCTTTGTTACCAGGCTACTATTCCTCACCTGCTTGTGTGCATGATCATAGGAGTTGATATGGTTGTCAAATTCCTGATGTTTCTGATACTGCTTATCACAGAGCTCACAGTAAAAGTTGGCTCTGAGGTCTTCCAAGGCTTTGGCAATTGCCTTCTCTTTGTCAACATAATCCTGTAAAAATCACAAAATGCAAACAAAAAATGAAGTTGGCAGAATTTTAAGTGAATGTTAAAAGGAAAATGGTCTTACTAAGAGGAAAAAAAGTGCATTTCAAAAAGTTTAGTGATACCAGCGAAAGCAGATGAAACACAAGGCAATTTTGAAAGGGTAATCTGTGTGTGATTATACTAAAGATGTCTTCAAATAAACAAATGTTTGAAAGAGTTTACTTTTACATCCCTTTTAGCAATAGCATGGAGTACTGTGGCACATCCTACTCCTATCCTTGGCTAAAAAACAACTGGTTTCAAAATAAAACACATTTTCATGTATTGCTGAAACTACAGAAAAAAAAAAGTCTCTAAAAGAGACCATGGAAGAAAACAAAACAAAACTTAATTATAATCTGAAACTGAAACCAGAGCTATGAAGGGTAAGGGCTCTCCTTAGACTAAGTTGTTGACCCTGGAAATTAGGTTTTATGTAAAACCTGAGAGTCCTCATTAAACAAAAGAACATAAAAGTGGATGAGAGAGATCCCAGGATCTATGCGTATTCGAAGAAGGAACCAAAAACTTTCTCAGAAAGCATCCGAATTTCCTTAGATTAAGATGAACCAAATACAAGTTACAGTCAAAGATTACTACAAACAAAGGAAATAAATCTATCAAAAATGAGAGAAGAAATCAGTAACAATTTAGGCCCCTAGGATCTCAGCTATTAGCAGAGTATATATTATAGAATATAAATCAACTATAAAATGTTTAAATATAAGGCTTACAAACCGAGTGAACATAAAACAATATAGAAAATAACATAAAAATAAAAATATAATTAACAATACAGGGGCCAGCAGGTGGCATGGTGGTTAAGGGTGCTGGACTCGCACATGGCTGACCATACTATGAGTCCCAGACCTGCCGGCTTGCTCTCTTACTTTCTCTCTCCCTTTTTCTCTGGTCGGTGTATGTGCTCTATAACAAATTTTAAAATTATAATAATAAAAAAAAAATTCTTAAAAAAAGTGATGAAGTTAAACAGCAGTACTACTTGAAAAGCCAACACACAGATGTATTGGTTATCTATTGGTCTTAATTAGGTTCAAAACTGTGGGACTGACTCAAGAGATGATCCCATTTGCCTCAGCAGTTCCACAAAATACCTCAAAGCAAGTTAAGCATATTCATTTGCTAAGGCAGCACAGAAGGATGAGAAGGGGAGAGAAATGCCAAATAATTATTTGCTAGCCTATTAAGAGTTGGGTAGATGATTACTTTGCATTGAGTAGCTCCTTCCAGTTCACTAACCAAAAAAGATTAATTCTCATTTCAAAGGCTCCCCAAACTGGTCTTTCTCTATTCACTCCATCATCTACCACCACTCTACCATTTATTACATGATGTATTTATACTATGCAAGAAAAAATTTCTATATTTTCTGGAATGGAAGTACTGAACCAATTAAGATAACCTTCTTAAAACTGAAAAGTGAGTATGCAGCATACTATGATGTTTGCCCTATTCAATCCTTCTCAGTAATTTCCTTCCTTCCTTCCTTGAGTTTGCTATATGATGCAAGCATTCATAAGATTGAGAGTGGGGTGCAGGGGTGGGGGGTGGAATAGACAGATCACTTCTCAGGGAAAATGGCCATATTGTAATCCCTTCTCCTCCATTCTCCCCTTGGAATTTTGGGTATGCACGCACACACACCTGGCACGTGTTTCAAGTTGCTGAGTCTAAGGCTCAAACAGCATACCTGGACATGTAGGATGTAGCAGCCTAACTTCCACACCACCAACTAGCCCATTAATTTTCTTTTCTTTTTTTAAAGAGTTATTTTATCTATCTATCTATCTATCTATCTATCTATCTATCTATCTATCTATCTATCTCAATCTCTCTCTCTCTCTGTCTATCTCAATCTGACCAGAAAGGGACAGAGCGAGTGAGAGAGAGAGGGGGAAAGTGAGAAAACAAGCCTCCAGGTCTAGGACCTGAACCATGGTCGGCCATGTGGGAGTCCAGTGCCCTTAGCCACCATACCATCCTCCAGCCTCATGGCCCATTAATTTTAAGAGTCCTGAACAGTTTCATGTTTTCGGACTATCAAACAACTTGTGGATATTCTGTCATAGAGCTAGACGCCCAACAGAAATCGAAAGCTTGCTTTCTCTACTAGAGTACAGACAGTGCTCTATCTTATTCTTGTCAGATGCACCTGTATGAGACTTTAATTCAAAAGTGGACAGTATGATTTTCTGTACTGTGACAATGCTCAGGGAATGAATGTAAATTAATTAATTTAAAATGCTTCAGAAAAAAATTACAGTGCTTTGTCCATAGTTTTAGTTTAAGGTATTTTGTGAATTGACAAAATGTGGAAAAAAATATTTAAAAAAGAAAATTAATATTAATAATAATAATAATAAAATTAAATTGAAAAAGAACTAAAGTTTTTAAAAAAAAGTCAGCAATATGATGAAGCAGGTGCCAAATGTAACCTATGTTCTAGCAATGGGGGCAGCAGAAGTAAACTTTAACTCTATCCTGAGTTTTATTTAATTCTACAGGATAGATATGTATACACACGCACGCATGCATGCACGCATGCACAAAGAGATTTCTGCTATAGAGCTCATGTGCTTGCCAAAGAGACAGTGACAGAGAGACAGAAAGTGAGAAATCACCTCCCAGGGATGATGGCAATGCTGCAATCCCTTCCCCTCCATTGTCCTCTCAGGATATGGGGCACACACACATACCCAATGTGAGTTTCAAGTCCAGGACTCGAACAACAGTCAGCCATGTGGGAGTCCAGCACTTTTACCATTACATCACCTGCTGGCCATGAATGATATTGTTGCTTTCTAAAATATAGTTAGTGTGGGACCAGCAGATGGCCTAGTGATTACATTGCTGGACTCCCACATGGCTGACTGTGGTTTAAGTCCTGGACCCAGTGGCTTAAAACTGATGCCTGGTACATGCGTGTGCATGCCCCCAAATCCCAGAGAATGGAGGAGGGATTGCAGTGTGGCCACCTCCTCTGGAGGGTGATTTCTCTCTTTCTGTCTCTGTCTCTCCAGTCTCTTAAAATATATCTATATATAGGTATATATAGATATATACCTATATATATAGGCATATATAGATATATATCTATATATACCTATATATAGAGAGAGGGGGGGGGGAGAGAGAGAGAGAGAAAGAGAGATGTGGTGATTAAGGCATTGGACTCCCATATGGTCAACCATAGTTCAAGCCCCAGACCCAGCAGCTTGAAAATCTCACTGGGTGCATATGCATGTGTACCCCAAATCCCAGGAGAATGGAGAAGGGATTGTGGCATAGCCATCCCCCAGGGGATGATTTCTCATTTTCCCTCTCTTTATTTATCTATCTCTGTCTCTCTCCAGCTAGAGCACGTGTCCTAAGGCAAAAACCTAAATAAAAAAATAAACAAGAAATAAAGATATTGCTGGATGTACAATTCTAGGGCAATGGTTGTTTGCTCTGAGTGTATCTTTATTCTGACTTAATCGTAACTGCAATAGTTCTTCGAAGAGTCTGACTTAGTCGTAACTGCAATAGTTCTTCGAAGAGTATGCCTTTTTCTTTAGTATTCCTAGGGCAGTTTTACCAGAAGGCATCAATGTGCAGTATTTTTTTTTAATCTTGCTTGAGATTCATTAGGCTTGCTGAATTGGTAAATTGGTCTTTCAGCAATTATAGAATCTTCACTTGCTTTTTTTTTAAGAGAGATTTTTGCCATAAGGTGCTCACGCTAGCCAGAGGGACATCATCCCCTGGGGGGAATGGCCACACTGCAATCCTTTCTCCACTCTCTTGGGATCTTGGGCATGCATGTACACGCATGCAGCTGGCATGAGTTTTAAGTCCCAAATTACAAGAGGAGAATGAAGGAAAAGGGATTGTGGCGTGGCCATCCCCCTGGGAGTGATTTCTCGCTTTCTGTCTCTCTCTGTCTCTGTCTCTCTGGCAAGTATATGCACCCTATAGCAAAAAACTCTCATAAAAAAAAAACAAAAACAAAAACAAAAACACCAGGAGATGCATGGGTTTGAATTTATAGCAGGCTCGTTCCCCTGGGCCTCTCATAGTACCCCATGCCAAAGCAAACTCGTCCCAAACCATTACCCAGTCTGCCTGTGGGCTGCTGGCACTGGCAGGTAGCATGGAACAGGGGTGGGGGGGCTCCAGGGAGCCCAGCAGGTGAAGTGGTAGTTGAGGTGCTGGACTCCCACTTGGCCGACCACCATTCGAGTCCCAGATATGGTGGCTTGCTTTTATCATTCCCCACCCCCACCTCTCTTTCTCTCTGATGAGCCCATATGCCCTATAACAAATTAAATAATAATACTAATAATAAGTAAGATTAAAAACAAAACAAAACAAAAACAAACAAACAAAAAACTAGGCACAAGTGTGCTTGTGCCCAAAATCCCAAGAGGGGAATGGAGAAGAGACTATGGCATGGCCTTCCCCCATGGAGGCTGATGTCTCATTTTCTTTCTTTTTCTATCTCTCCAGTGAGCACATAAACCCTAAAGCAAAACTTTAAAAAAAAAAAAAAATCCTATTTTTCTTTTCCTACTTTAATGACCTATATATCAGTTTTTATGTTAGTATCGGGTCATCGGAAGCAGAAAAGTCAAGATATATTTTTCTATGTTTTTCTATGCAAAAATAGGTATAATTCTTCTGACAACCCAATACATACATTTTAAATGCCAGAGAGAGGGGCCAGCAGGTGGCATGGTGGTTAAGGCACTCTGGATTCCCACATAGCTGACGGTGATTAAAGTCCTAGACCTGGCTTGCTTCCTCACTTTTCCTCTCTTTCTGGTCAACTCAAAAATATAAAATAAGGGGCCAGCAGGTTGTGTGGTGGAGGCTGGGGTGATGAACTCTCACATGGTCAACCACAATTCAAGTCCTGGACCTAGCAGTTAGCTTCCTCTCTCTCTCTCTCTCTCTCTGGTCAAAATAGTAACAACAACAATAATGATGATAAATGAAACAATTATTTAAAAAATAAAATAATGATGCCAGAGAGAACATGTGTGCGTAAGAGAAAGGAGAGAGAGAAAGAGAGTGAGAGAAAAAGAGCTAAAGCACCTCTCCAAATGGGCCAGATCATTCTGCATCATTTTTCTTCCAATTCTCCATCCTATCAGGATCCTGGTACATGCACACCCACCCAGCTTGTTTTGCAAGTCAGTAAGACTGGAATGTGAACCCTGATCAACCACATGGGATCTGGCTTCCTCTGCAAAGCGCCTAACTGCTGTGCAAAAAGGCAGCCTTCTATACGATAATTTCTTTCTTTTTTAATTTTTTTTAAGACATTTTGCCTTAGGGTGCGTATGCTCACTAGAGAGACAGAGACAGTGAGAAATCACCTCCTGGGGGAATGGCCGCACTGCAATTCCTTCTCCTCCATCCTCCCAGGATCTAAGGCACATGTGCACACATGCCCAATGTGATTTTCAAGCCACCAGGTCCAGGACTCGAACTGCAATCTGTCATGTGGGAGTCCAGCAACATAACTGCTATGCCATCTCCTGGCCCCCTATATGGTAATCTCTCTCTCTCTCTCTCTTTTTTTTAAAAGAATTATTAATTTAATTTTATTTATTCATTCATTTATTTTAATTTGACCAGAGAGAGAGAGAAAACAAGTCACTAGGCCCAGGACTTGAACCATGGTCAGCCATGTAGGAGTGTCCAGCACCCCAACCACCACGCCACTTGCTGGTGCACCCGATACGGTAATCTTAAGACTTTTTTTTAATCTTTAAATTTACCTGTTTTATGGTAAGGACTAGGCACATACTACACTACAAAGGAATGTTCCTTGGCAAACCTTTTTGAAAGCTAACTTAAAACTTATGTTCTAAACTGTAATTTTCTGTAATTTGCTCCTTAAAAGTAAAAATACTGAAAGACTAATTTCAGCTTCAGACTTCCATAAGATAAGATGAATCTACTTTAGAATTGAGTTTAATCGGGACCAGCAGTTAGCATAGTGGCTATGTTGCTGAACTCCCATGTAGCTGACTGTGGTTCGAGTTCCGGACCCGGTGGCTTAAACTCATGCTGGGTGCGTGTGCGTGCATGCCCAAGATCCCGAAAGGAGAGTGGAGGAGAAGGGATTGTGGCATGGCCATCTCCCCTGGGGGGTGATTTCTAGCTTTTTATCTCTCTGTCTGTCTCTGTCTTTCTGGTGAGTGCATGCGCCCTACAGCAAAAACCTTTCAAAAAAAAAGAAAAGAAAAGAAAAAGGAATTAAGTTTAATTAACAATGAACAAAAAGTTCTTATTCTTTTTTCTAAAAATATTTATTTATTTATTTATTTATTTTTACCATTATTATTTAATTTGCTACAGGGCATGTGTGCTCGAGAGAGAGAGAGAGAGAGAGAGAGAGGGTGAGAAAGCAAGCCACCAGGCCTGGGATTTGAACTATGATCACCCATGCGAGAGTCCAGTACCTTAAACACCATGCCACCTGCCAGCCTGCTTAGTTATTCTTTTTTTTTTAAGAGAGTTTTTTGCTATAAGGTGTGTGCACTCACAAGAGAGACAGAAAATGAGAAATCACCACCCAAGGGGAGATGGCCATGCTGCAATCCCTTTTTCTCCATTTTCTTCTCGGATCTTGGGCGCACATGCACCCAGCATGAAATTTAAGCCACTGGGTCCGGGACTCGAATCACAGTTGGCTATGTGGGATCCAGTGACACAATCATTATGCCATCTGTTGGTCCCACCCTTAGTTATTCTTAAATATCTCACCCATTTTTAAAAAGGACAGAAAAGTCTTAACCAATTAGTACCAAGCTCTCAAAAGACTACTTTTATTTATTTATTTATGTTTAGGTTTTTGACAGTAGGGCACATGTGCTCACCTGGAGAGAGACTGAGAGAGGGAATGTGAGAAATCATCCCCCTGAGGGGATGGCCATGTTGCCATTTCTTCTCCATTCTCCTCTCAGGATTTTAGGCACACATACACACAGGCCTGATGTGATTTTTTACTTGTAATTTTTACTGTTATTTCACTATCTACTATACACCGGCACTGTTTTCAAACACTAACTAATGTAATCTTCCCAATAGACTCGTGAAGTAGGTATTATCATCTCTATAGCTTTTACAGAAGCAATAAATAGGAAAGTAACACTAATTACTGCCAATGTTAACAAATGCCATCATTAACGGAGATCTTTTTTCACCTAAAATAATTTTCTTGTCTTCAGTGAGAGCATCCCCTACACAAGAATGGTTTTAAGTACCTTGTATTTTTGTCTCAGCTCTTCTGTGTCTTCTTTTTCCACTTCTAGGACACGGCGCCGTTCGGTAGCATCTTCAGCATAATCAAGCTTGACAAAAACAGATATTAGCATTAATTCCTAAAGTACCCCAAGATTATCTATGAAAACCCCATTTACAGAACTACACAGTATTGTTTGAAAACAAAAGAACTATATTTTGCTCAACTCCTTCTTGTTCTCTTGTCACCTCACAGAGAAAATTGCATGCAAAATAGTTCATTAATCCTTTTATGCTAGTGGTTCCCAATAGGCATATTTGTTGATGATAATAGACCTCGCTTCAGTGTTCACTGCCAAAGAATTAAGAATAAATGGAGAAAGTATTTAGGCAATGAATATCACTGTTGACAACTGTACACAACTCTACAAAGGCAAAGCTTCTACCTCAGCAAATATTTTAAGAGATCAGCAACACTGCCTACTGAAAATAAGCACCAAGGTCTGGGTCTAAGTCTGACCTTGCTTTGGTGTATAACCCTGGGCAAACCATTCCATTTTTTAATGCCCCAATTAAAACAGGGGCATTATTTAAATCCTGTATGCCTCAAAGGTAGCATGAAACAAGAGTCTAAAATATTTATTTAATTAATTTTTATTTATTCATTCACTTATTTTAATTTGACCAGAGAGAGACAGAGAGAGAAAGAGAGAGAGGGAAAGTGAGAAAGCAAGCCACCAGGTCTGGTACTCGAACTGTGGGCCATTGGGAATGTCCAGTACCTTAACCACCACGCCACCTGCTGGCCCTGTGTATAAACTTTTATTTTTTTAGGAAGTAAGAAAAGTTTATATTTCCATTTAGAGAAACAAACGAGAAAAATATTTTAACAAGTTGCTGAAACTATCAACAATTCAAAAGAAAGTAAAATGTTTAAATTGGAAAACAAAGCATAGTAAAAAAAAAATCAGTAATGTTTTACTCAAAAGTCATAAAATTCTATTTCGCCAGTTCAGTCTTATGTTCAAACTCTCTTCTCTTAAATATGCAGTGTTGCTGTGGTCCAATCTTTCGTTTAAATCCTGGAAGTTAACATTCGATGTTGTTATTGATATTTCTTGTCTTTAGCGTTAAATTGGTTGCCTTTTGTTCTCTTATTTCTGTATGTGTCTTTAATTTTCCTGGTCGAGCACTCCTTTCAGAACTTCTTGAATAATGGGTCTGCTACTAGCAAATTCCTTCAGGTCTTGTTTATCTGAGAATGTTTTTACTCTCTTTCTTTCCATATGAATGATAACCTTGCTGGGTATAGTATTCTTGGTTGAAACTGTTTTTCACTTAACACTTTGAATATATGTTCCCATTCTTTCCTTGCTCTCATTGTTTCTGGTGAGAGGTCTGAGGTTAGTCCAATGGGATAGCCTTTATAAGTAACCTGACGTTTCTCTCTTGCCCATTTTAGTATCTTGCCTTTGTCTATAGATTTGACCAGTCTGGCTATGATGTGTATTCCTTGGGTCTAGATGTGTAAAATATTTTTAAGAGTCAAAAAAAAAAAATTAAAACTACATTTCATCTGATAAACGTATTCTTGCATTGACATCTGCATCTGGAATTAATGTAAATTTTAAATATCCCATTTTGGGCTGGATGGCGGTAGTGTGATAAAATTCAATGCTCTACAAGACTGACTTACATGGGAAGGTTCCTGGTTCCTGTCCAGAGACCTTCCTGGGTACACCAGGCACTTATGTGCCCAGGATTCAGGGCTGGATAGGGCTGGGGGTGAACCATAGTGACACCTAGACTGCTGAGGTGCTCTCTCTCTTGCTTGTTCACAGAAAAAATTAATAAACCTAAAAAAAATTCTATAAAATAAGTGCATTAATAAGATCATTTACTGGGCCAGCATGTGGTATGGAAGTTAAGGCATTGGATCCCACATTGCCAACTGCGGTTCAAATCCCAGATCCAGTGGCTTGAGAATCATGCTGGGTGTGTGTGCATGTGTATGTGCCCAAAATCTCAAGAGGAGACTAGAGGAGGAGGGACTACAGCATGCCTATTCTCCCTGGAGAGTGAATTCTCACTTTCCCTCTGTTTATCTGACTCTCTCTGGTGAGCATAAGCCTTATAGCAAAACACACATACACACAAAACTAAAACAAACAAATAAATAAAATTTAAAAAATAAAAAATTAAAGATAAGATCATTTACCTCCATTTCCATGCGACCCATGCCCATGACATCATACTTGACAACGATCGGAATGGGATCTGTTCTCCCTGTAACAGGAACACATAATCAAGGTAAGATGCAAAGCCAAGCCAACAGCTCACTTTACACATTGGGTTTGGGTGGTTAGAGATCTTGCCTTGGAGTGCAGAGACCAGAAAGCTACAGTGAACCAAACACAAGCCATTCTCACAGCTTACACCTGAACCTTCCTTTACAGTTTAAACCCAACTAACCTACCTTGGTTGACCTTCTAGTTGGGGATAATTCCAGACTACTATGGCACGATTAAACTAATAAGCAATGTAAAGCACTTCTAAGCAATGGCACCAGGAGTTTTAAAATTTTAAACATTAGAAGTTCCTTTTCAAATATATCCCCAAATAACTTTTCATCAAGAATCACTTCACTCTCTCCATTGATATCCTCTCACCACACACACTTTTAAAACTGGTAATAATATCTCAAGTGACATGCTTAAATAGAAAAAGTACACTTTCAAACATGATGCAGTAAAATTCTACATTAGAATGCAGTATGTTTAATTTATTTTCAAAAGATGCTTCACAATTAAATGAGGTTTTGAAAAATGTCAATAGAAAGCAACAATTAGTTGCCCCTAGGGACACAGCATATTTTTACTTTTAAATTGGTGCTCAGAGGTCCCATTTCCCAGAGTGAATTTAATACTAAACTAAGTGCTAATCGGTAAGCTGTGAAAAGGACTGGTTGCGAAGAAAATTGACTTTAAACTAATTGATCTATGCTGGAGATTTTTTTAAATAAATATATATTTAATCCACTCATAACCAGCCAAACAAAGCAAAATGGGGCAGACAAGCACTTTACTACCACAGCTGTTTTACATCACAACTTGCGCTGTTTATTGTGATGTAAGCCCACTGAAAAGAGGACTTACCTTATCCGTTGTACACCTTTAGTGAAAAAACACAACGTTTACTTCCCTCATCATTTTACTCAGGCTGGTGTAAACAATTGTTTTTTTTTTGTTTTCTTTTTTGTTGTTGTTATATACACACATATATATTATACCTTTGGGCTAAAAATTAAGTTTTGTCAGGCTAAATCTGAGGTATTACCAAAAGAAAAAAAAAAGGATACTTTTTTCCCCTTAAATAAATGCCATGATCATGACTGGTTTTGGTTTTCAGAAAAGAGAAGAAATCATCTTCAAAATGATAAGCAACTACTGCCTCCAGTTACTCTACATTTGTGGGATTAAACTTTTTCGGTTTAATATATAATGAACAAATTCACAAGTTTAACTACTTATTTCTAGTATTCCATTATTGTTTTTCAACAATATGTAGATAATTAGGAATAATTATCATAGTTTAAAAAAACCCACAAAAACAAATGTTTCTCATGGCAGGGAAAAAACTCACTAAGCCTTCTAGAATGTAACCTTTAGATATTACCAATGATTGCCAGTAAAAGAAAATAAAAATGAATTACTAATTTATGCCCAATGGTATAATAAATAAGCAGTGACTGCAATCTTTAGCAAAAGGACCAAATAAAAGACAGGTTATAAAAATGACTTCCCAGGTGCAATATCACTTTCATAACGTCTCATTCAGGGATTTACTGGTAAAATACATGGTCCAATGACAGAATTGAAAAGAAATGTCAAAAAATTTATTTTTATATCTTTTTGATCTATCAGAATTTGTTTTGCAAGAATCAACGTTTTGGTACAAATTTATTACCTTTGTAAACCCCTGTTAATAAACTCTGTATTAGTACTTTTGCCTTCTAAGGCAGTCAAAGTTTTTAATTTATTTATAAATTGCAGTAGCAAGTGCTAGTGCCCATTACATTGTGGGGAAATCAAGTTTTTGACAGTATTAGAATTTAATGTTTTAACTGATTTTTTTGGTTGTTGGCAGTTCTAACACAAACAGATACATCCCTTCTTAACATTACCCTTTAATGAACAAGGATCAGACAAGTTGCATAAGGAAAGGAAAGGAAAATGAAAAAGACCAAGCAGAAGGATGAAGGCTACAACAGAGAAAGTAAGCCTAACATATTGGTGCACTGATGACAAAAGGAGTAATTCAGTCTGAAAATAAAAAATTACCACTGCTAAGTTTACCATCACCACAACAAGTCCAGGATCATAATGCTGTAAAAAAGAAACACCATTTGTTAGGCAGAAACCATTAGGGTAGAAAATAGGCCTTCTAGCAGCCAGACGGGATAGGGTAAAGTAACAATTGGGTTTTGTCCCTCCCCCAATTTTAGCTGGGGACAGAGGAAGGACATTCTGTGCTGTGGCAGCTGTTTTCATACTAGGGCAGACCAGGGTGTGAGATTTTTGTTTTGCTACTTGAGAAGATGAACACCTCCTCTTCAATAATGCACGGAGTGGGTGAAAGAACTAGCTCTAGCTTCCAATTTCTCATTTAACTATTCATTCTGGTAAATTAGCATTCAGAGTCCAAGGTGCAACTTTTCCTTAAATAAGTCATGTCAGAGACTCAATCAGATCAACTGGACAGTGTGATCAAGTCATTCACTTAATTAAAAAAAAATTCTAGGAGGTTTGGTGGGGGTTGGTGTCTTCAAGACTTCTCTAAAAATATATAACAATTAAGAGGTCTAGAAAATAAACTTAGATCTTCAGTCCTTGGAGAACTTTGTGTATTTGAGTTCTGTTATGAATGAATAAAACTCTTTAAGTGACTCTCCTTAGAACTTTGCTTCCTGTTAATGAAGATTTCCCAGGCCTGCCAACATGTCTTTCTACACACAACAAAGCCAACCTTTGAAGGAGAATTCCAGAGAAACTCCAGAGAAAATGGCATTAAAAGAGCTGTCACATTTACCATTACTCCACTCAGAATTAACTCACAGAGAGTAAGCAGTCTGACTTTCAAAGCAATCTGAAGGTGACATTACTGCCTGGGCCACATAGTAATTTCCTAACATTTATTATTAAATGGGCTATAGACAAAAGAAAAATCCTAATGGGAAAAGACAACACAAGAAGCTACAGAAAGCGGCTGTAGCATTTAAAAAAGAACTACCTCGATTTATTCATTTGTTATCAATGATAAATACTAACATAAAGAACACTACTTAGAATATCTAAGTAACAATTTGTAATAATGACTTTTCCAGGGGACCAGCAGGTGGCGTGGTGGTTAAGACGCTAGACACTTCCACGTGGTCAACCATGGTTCAAGTCCTGGCCCAGTGGCTTCTTTCCTCACTTTTTCTCTTTCTCTCGTAAAATTAAATGAATAAAATTAAATAATTTTTTAAAGATGACTTTTCAAAAGATAGTAGGTAGCACCAAAATGTCTGCTAATACATATTCTCTAGAAAACACAGCTTATTTTCAATATAAAATGAACTTTTAAGTGTAGGTTCCCTATTTCTTGGAATATTTTTAGGTGAGGCAAATATTAATTTAAAATCTATTAAATTAAGGACATTTTTGTACCTTTTCCCCACACCAAAGGAGTAACCTGCTTTCATCCTCATGGAAGCACGTAACCTACGAATGCTGTTGCTATAACGGTGAATAAGAGGATGACTCCAATGTTTCAGGTTTCGAGGTAGGTGTATGAGCTGTAGTATAGCCCTCGTCCTACATGCAGGAATAGGCATACGAAGAATACTGATGCGCCTTTGGTGTGGAGGTATCGAATAACTCATCCATAGTTTACATCTCGGCAGATATGTGTAACTGAGGAGAAGGCTGTACTAGTGTCTGCAGCATAGTGTATGGCTAGGAATAGGCATGTGACAATTTGTAAGACTAAGCATACTCCTAATAGGGACCCGAAGTTTTATCATGAAGAAATGTTTGAGGGGGCTGGGAGGTCAATAAATGAGTGATTAATAATTTTTAGTAGTGGGTGGTTTTTTCATATATTGGCCAAGAAAAACCCTAAATACTCTCCTAAAAGAAAATGTTCTTGGGACCAGCAGTTGGTATAATGGCTGTGTCGTTAGACTCCCATGTAGTCGACTGCAGTTCGAGTCCCAGACCCAGTGGCTTAAACTCACGCCAAGTGCATGTGCGTGCGTGCCTAAGATCCCTAGAAGAGAATGGAGGAGAAGGGATTGCAGCGTGGCCATCCCTCCTGGGGGATGATTTCTCACTTTCTGTCTCTCTGTCTCTCTCTGTCTTTCTGGCGAGCGCACACGTCCTATAGCAAAAACCTCTCCAGAAAAAAAAAGAAACAAAACTGTTCTCCTTAGAGAAAGACCTAGACACTGTGACTGTTCTTCAGCCAACTAGAGAATAGAAAGGAAAAAACACAGGCTAAGTCAAGAATGTACCAATATTACTGATGTGTTCATCTGACAGAAAAATCTGCTATTCATATTTTCTAAACCAAAACTGTAAATGTTTCACTAACCAACTAAAACTAAAAACAAAAAAAAATTGCCAGAGGGCTAATACGCTTTCCAGAAAGATGGAGGGAGAAAGCGTACTCTCACCGGGCATGGTCATGCTGCAAACCCTTCCCCTCCATTTCTCCATTCTATTAGTATTTGAGGTGCACATGGACCAAGAGTGTTTTTCAAGCCACTGGTGCTAGGATTCAAACCACACAAGTCAGCCATGTAGGATCCGGCCCCCTTAACCACTAGGCGCAGGGTCAGTCCCATCAAATTGAATTTTTTCGCCTATATTTGGAAAGGTAGTTTTACTTCTACAATGATAGAAGTTTCTGAATGCTCTTACATATATACGCAGGTCTTGCTAAAACTGTATTTTAACCTACAACAAAAGAAGAGAATAAGTCAACTATGAAAACTCATTGACTATCTATAGCCAGCCAGTCATCCTATTTCTGAGAATAACTAATCAAGAATCAGTTTTGATTTTAAAACAGTTCAGGCGATATTAATCTACAAAACTGATTGAAAGAACTGGACTGTAGAGAAAGGACTTTTTAAAACTTTTTTTGAGAAACATTATTTTTAAAGAGACAAACTCTAAGAATAGAACAAGTACAAAAATAATCAGGATAAGCATAATCTGGTAATAATCAGCCCTGCTTTAGAA